TCTCCAAAGAATAGGAATCGACATCTCACACCAATGTCGGCTTACAAGAGCGCATGAGTATAATGAATAAAATTCATTATTTAAATTATTAAAAATCTTTTCCATTAATTCGGGCATATTGCCCATGAATATCTTTGATGCCATAACGATAAAAAAAAAAAGTTTTTACGCATCATGTACGTTGTACCTACTTATATAGATTTGCAAGCCTTTTAAGGATAACAGTTTACATTGCAATACGTTACCATGTTACCCATCGCAATGCTGTGTGAATGATGCACGTGATTCGCATTTACCATAGGCGTAGTGGAACGGAGCCCAGAGTCGCTACTGAATGTGTGTAATGTAAGATCTAATTTCAGGGATAAATTCGGTCAGGTAAGACTTCTTTACCTGAAGTTGCAACTTCTGACAAATGAAAAACTATTACTTTCCACAAACTTTTAATATATACTGTACACACATACGAACTAGAATAAAATCTAAACAGTGCTCAATAGAAATTAGGGTTTGATTACGATTAGAATTAAGGTACGGGTTAGTCAAGGTAAAATTACAAAAGGAACATTTTTGCTTATGTTACACTACATGGTCAAAATTTCGAGATATTAGCAATTTTATAATAGGGGATCGAAGTAGTTTAATTAACTTGGATCATTTAAATTTTTATCAAATGATTAGGCAATTTACCATCTGAGTTATTTCAGTCCTTTATTGAGCTAAATAATGTGAACCACTAAGCTTTTCACCTTCACTAAACCACCATCAGATCAATATTTTTTTTCATACTAATTTACGTTGAAGAGACATTTAATCCGAACAATTTTCAACGAACTTGTAAGTTATAAATTCATTATCAACATCTGCTGTTATAAAGATACCTGCATAGTATTTATTAACAACAAGTATTCTTTGAAAATATGTTTCTTAAAATAGTAGATCGCGCATGGTTATGTTAGTGTAATATATAAAAATATAATAATTGTCTGTGTAATGAGCTTCGGTGAAATAAGCTGTCAGTGTTATGACTTGTTGGCCAAATAAATGTCGGTGAAATAAAACATGCCAATTTTTTTTTGGTAAAATGATATGTTTATTAAATGAGTATCGGTGAATTGATACGAAAATTTTATTTTTAATTTATTTAACATGTAAATATGTATATGTAATTGCATAATCATGATAGGTGAAACCTGTGCCGCCAATTAGTAAAATTTGCATTGATTAGCTAAATTAGATAAAATCTGAGATGCAGTGAGGGTTTAATCCTGTCTAAATAAAAGCTATACCAAAACTTTTGGCGAAAATATCTCAATAACTATCTGACCAAATTAGATAAAATTTTTTTCATTTGAACTCTATTCATTCAGAGAATATAAATAAAAAAAAATAATTGAATTTAGTTTGATTGCTGTTGAGATAGCTTTACTTAAAATTTTAGAAACAATCAGAACTTTTATTTGAATAAAGATTGTACCAAATTTTTTAAAACTTTGAGCAAATATATCTTGACAACTATTTAATCAAATTCAATAATTTTTTTAATTTGAATTCTATTAAGCCATGGAATTCAAATAAAATTTTAAGTGAAAATATCTTGACAATAATCTAATCAAATTTGATTTTTTTTATTTAAATTTTATAGACTCATAAAATTCAAATAAAAAAGATTGATTAAATTAGGTAGATAATTGTTAAATTATCTTTAGTTAAAGGTATAGCTTTTATTTTGACAGGGTAAATTCAAACTGCATCTTAGGTCTTATCTAATTTAACTAATCAATGTAATTGGTAATGTGAATTTTATTCTGTTATAAAATTATTCAAAAATCAGTTATATAATAAAATAATTATAGTATTTAGCATATTTTAGAGAGTTTTTTTTAAGCTATAAAAGAAACTTTTGGTGATGCTTATATTTTTTCTTTTATTATTATTTATTTACAAAATAAAAATAAAAATATATATGTATGTTATGTATTCAAATCTTATATAAATACAAGACTTTTAATAATCTTAGTTAGAAAAAAAAATATAGCAATGATAAAAATAAATAAAAATGTCAAAATTATTATAGTAAAAATAAATAAGTCAAAAATATGTTTTAGTTTAAGAGTCTTAAGACTAAGTTTCTTATAATCTAAATAAGTTCTATAAATTTTGACATTATATCTGTTTTGCTAATTGGATCTCATAATATAATTGGTTAACTTTTATTAGTCTAAGAATATGATGACTTAGTGAAGTAAATAGTTTGTCAACTTCCCAAGTGGTAGGTTGTGAGTTTAAAACCTACTAACAATAAAAATTTGGATAATCACCTATGTAATACTTAGCCAGTATTATAGCAACAGTATTTTGTCAATTAGTTAGGATAAGATGCTTGTAAGTATAATTGCATTAGCATGACTGGCAGGTCATGTAGCATCTGTGTAACTTTAGTTATACAGAAATATGCAAACTAGTAACAGGCAGTGTAAATCTAAGATAAATCTTTGTGACTATATAAATCTGTAGAAATGATAAAAACTGAAGCCTACTTGGAAATATCTGAGTATAGATGTAATATGAATCTTTAATAATATTACTATAAAGCTTAGACCAAGAAAACAAATATCAATACAGAGGAATCAAACAAATAAGAACCTTTAGATGAGAAGTACTATTAACCAGGTTAATAGACTGAACCACAAAAAAAGAATATTGAGTCAGACTTGATATACTAAGAACAGATAACAGTCCTTTTAAGCTATCTAAATTAGGAGTCTAAGAACAAAGCAAGAATATACTAAAATATTAAGAATATGCTATAAAGTAGGTACTGGGGTATAGGTGAACTTGCAAAAACATAATTCTGTTAAAATCTGTAGAGTGAGTAGGTAACTTAATAAGAAAAACTTTCTGCATCTTATTGTCAGGTGATAAGCTTTGCTATAGTCTGAATAACAATATAAAAAAAGATAATGTCAAACCTGGATGGTCTTTAATAAAAGGCAGCAACAGAGTCAATCAACTTTAGGATAAAATAATTAGAGGTATACAGGTGCTAATTAGGTAATTCAGAAAGTTTAAATAGGACATCCACAAGTGGAGGTTAGATATGACAGATAGTGAGTATCCTTAGAACAGAGTCATTAAATAGACAATGACTAAAGTTGTATGTATGACTAGCTGCACTCTCATGAACTATGTATATACTTAGGATATCACTAATTAATAGAAAATTGCCAGTTTGATTGAACAATTGACTGCTCATTAACAAAAAAAAAACTTTATTAATCTATATGTAATTACTCATAATAAGTAACCAATAAATTGATAATTTTTCAAAAAATAATATTTTTAATTCTACTAAAAAAATCAAAAGTTTATCAGTCAACTAACTATATTAAAAGAATTTGCCATATATATTTAGAGAATAGATAGACATGTATAAGATAAATAAAGAATACATAAACATACATTCTTTTATATAATAAATGCCTACTAATCATGTAAAATCCGAGTTCCCTATTAAACTTCGCATGATGTCGGTAGCTTTCCATTCGAAGGTAACACAAATCACAACATGAGTCCTTGCACTGTTATCGCAACCGTGGAACCTAAACACAATACTAGGTCTTTACATCATAATGTAGCTGTGGATTGTGATGGGGAAAATGCGCACATTATAATAACATGCGCATGATATCGCATGATAAAAAAAAGGCAAAAAAAGAAAAAACGATCGAGAGGAAAGAAATCTTGATGGGACAAAATGCGCTTAATGCGCATAATTCCGCAATAATGCGCACGCATGAAACCTATCTCTTCCTGTGGAACCTAATTATAATATGAGGTCCTTACACTACTATTACAGAGCCTAATCACAACATGAGGTCCTTGCACTGCTATCACAGCTGCATAGCAACACGAGGTCCTTGCAACTAGAGATGGGTTCGGTCAGCAACGGTCAGCTATTATTCGGTTATCGACTAATAGCCGGCTATAGCAGATCAGTGTCTAACGCTAAAGCATAAAAACATAAACGGATCGGCCGAAAAATGCAGATGATCCCGTAAACAATTGGCCCCGATAACACATGCCAGCTAGCCAGTGTCACGGGAAGTTTTTAACTTTCAATGTCACCCAGGTTCCGAATTACTGTATCGTACAGATATAGAGGTTGGAACCGGTTTTAATAATTCGGGTTTATCACATGAATTTTGTGATATTTTAGGATTTATTAAAATTTAATTGGATAAATTTCTAAAATATCCCAAAACTCACGGGATAAACTCGAATTATTAAAACCAGTTCCAACCTCTATACAGATACCCGGTTCTGATGACTACATTTTGGTGATCGTATGGTTACCCAGTCCGATTACTTTACTATTACTACATTTCCCTTCACTTTTACCTCATTTTTCCCTAACTACTGATTCCCATGCAATATTTTTAGATTTCTTCCCATTACCATAATTTAGCAACATTACAGCAACATTACAATCATTTTCGTAACGATGATTATAGAATAACTTCATTTTTCTTATATATGTATGAAAAGTATATTTAAAGGACCCGCAAGGGAAAGGAGAATATTCATTCTTCCTTATATATTAAAAAAAAAAATAATAAAGCTTGAAAGATAATAATAAAATAATAATTGCTAACAACGATAATAATAAATACATTCATTACTATGATAATTGGCGAATCCCTAATAATTAATCTACCAACATAAACCTCACGTATCTGATAAATAAAGTGTTATTGCAATAATTAGAATCTCTATGCTATTCGATATACTCTAGTTCATCCAAGAATAGCTTCACGATAAGTATTAGAAATAAACTTCTTATGCTAAATTACAATTCGGTAACAGAAATAGAAAAGTCTTTCCTCAGATCGTGACACCAGTCACTTAAGCCGCTCCAGTCTATTATGGACTACGGCTATAGACGGTCAGCTAGCCGACTGGAACCTAACCGAACCCATCCCTACTTGCAACGCTACCCGATGAAGGGGTTTACCATATTCAAAGAAGCAACAAAGACAGAACATCGACCACAAAATTCTAGCGATATAAAAGAACCAGAGACAAAAGTCCAGTAACACGGAAAATTAGCGATGAAAATTCAACGACATGCATGTCCATCAGCGAAAGTTCAACATTGAAAGTCCACCAGTAAAGTTCAACGGCAAAAGTTTACCAGTGAAAGTCCTCCGGAGAAGCTACCAATGAAATTTCACCAGAAACAGTCTACCAATGAAAATTTACCAGTAAAAGTTCACAAACGTAAGTCCACAAATGAAAGTTCACTAAGGGAAGTGCAACAAGGAAAATTCAACGATAAGACTCCAGCGAAGGGAAAATTCAACTGCGAAAGTTCGCAACGTTCATCAGCGAAAGTCCATCAGAGAAAGCCCAACAAAGAAAATCCACAAACAAAAGTCCGACAACGAAAGTTCAACAATGAAATTCAACCGGCGAAAGTTAAATGACTCTAAAAATAATGCCAAAATCACATGATAACTCCAATGAAAGTTTCAAAGCACTTTTTATTGGCCTATCGCAGCCACAGAGCCCAATTACCAAGCAGAGGTCTTTGTATTACTCCAGTATCTACAGACCAACACAAGGACCTTACACTGCCATCATAGTAACCACCAACATAAAGCTTATGCACTATCCTTAGTTAACAAATCACTGAGAGAAGGATGGGTAGGATGGGATGATGGAGCCAGCCTTCACTACAAGGTGAGCAATAGCGATAACTCCTCTACCAACTGAAGGCACTTAAATAACCATGAAAACAATTTTATCTATCATAGTAACTCATATTTTCAACAATCACAATATTGATCAGGAAACATACCTGTATCTAACAAGAACTACGTATACACAAAATTCCATAAAGAAAGTCATCTGATTTCGCAATAATGACCGCCCTGTCACTTCGTTGACAGGCTTTTCCCGATTTTAATTTTGTATCATATGATATAAAAATATATTAAGGCATGCCAGATTGCTTGTATTATATATTATTTTTTAAAAATTGAATGCAGAGTTAAGAGAATGTTATTTACACTATTGTTAGTTGTGACACTGGTTCTTTTTTTTTTTTTTATATTACCAAAAGCAACAAAAACATAATACTGAATTTAATTGAATTGATTTTTTTTTTTAAACCGTAGAAATATAAAGTTAATTGTGCAATAAATTGTATATATCAATTTAAAAAAATATTATTTATATTTGTTGTTGAAAAAGTCAAATAATGTTATATACTGCTAATAGTTAATTGCATCTTGCTGAGGTCCATCCATGCGAAATTTCTTATCAATTGTCTTGACTTAGGTTCCTCTGCACTCTGTAATTATTAACTACAGTCGTATTCCCATATAATCACATAATTGGAACTCATAAAAAAGTAATATTATATAGAATACATACTTAGAATGCGCTATATTAATATTAGTTAATTTAAAAAAATAAATATGCTTATAAATATGATATGCTTATGTAGGTGGTGATTATATGAAGGTGCGACTGTAATTATTATTAACTCAATTCGAAAATCACATCACTTCTTTCGACGTAAAAATAATATTTCTGCTATAATAGCTATAACAAAAAACAGCAATAATAACACTAAAAAAAATCATAATTTGGATAATGTGGATATCGATATGTAACGATAAGTATTGCATCTATTGTTATAGCTGCAATCAACGCTATAGAGCAAGCAATAATCAACTTCTTAATTAGTGATAGACGATTAATTTTTATAAGTGCTACTGTAGTTGCAATAAACACTACATAAAAAGCAACAGTTAGACCAATAATCCAAGCAATTGGTTTTTGTGTACAGTATGTATAGTTAGGTATAAATGTTGGTACCCAATATAGGCACGGCAAATTCAATAAATAAATAGTAGGGTTGGTTTCAACAGACTCGGAACTATTATTAGTAATATTACCTTTATTATTTTTCAAGGAAAAAAAAGATAAATTAGTTTTATTTATAGATCATAATAGTAATTATAATAATAGATAATCACCGAAGGTAACAATCATATAATTCTGATATAAATTTACAGTATGATATGCTAATGAAGGCGGTCGAGTTCCAGAATCATCTTTTAATTCTGAATATTTATACGGCTCGGCTTTAATATCTAGAATTATAAAAACTGGATGTGCAGTAGTCGTATTATGTGCAAGGCCTATAAATAAATATTTGTTTAGTACTAAATATATTTGAAAGAAAGCAGACTTTATTAATATTTACTTGAGGTTCCACCTATAATAATGATTTTATTATTATCTGGTGTTAAGGTCGCCGTATGACCTACTCGAGCCTGAATAGAAGTGCCTATTGCTTTCTGAATGTTTGAATCTTAAATTAGAAATAGTGGTAAAATATAATGGTAATCACTAAAAATATAGATATATACTTTGGATGACCAAGTATTAGAATTTGTATTGAATACTAAGATCTATAATAGAATTTTATTTATATAAAAAATAAGTATAAGCTAATAAAAATAATATGCATATTTTGAGCAAGCATTCTGAAAATTTATAAAAATAATCACATTTTCCATTTCAATTAGAGTTGGATTTACTCCAGGTTGACCTTGATCTTGATAAGCACCTCCAATATAGAGAATTTCACCACTTGGAAGTAATGTCGCAGTACTATGACTTTGAGCAAGAGGTGCATTACTTGGATTTTTACTCCATCCTGCTGCATTGGTATTATAAATATAGATTTCATTAAATAAAACAACGTCAGGTGAACCAGTATCTATTTCGGCTCTTCCTCCAAACATATATATCTTTCCATCCTGACTTATTACAGTTGAAGTTGATCTACGTCTAATTGTTGGTCCTCCATTTGTCTTACGAATTGGAAACCAACTTTGTTCAGTCGGGTGGTAAATAAGAACATTTAATTCTCCATCAGCTCGATTAGATACATTCCAAGTATCAATTAACTCTTTTTGCATTAATGATTGATCTGTAAGAGTTACATTACTGTCTATCTGATTAAGGAGAGGAAGGTCTTGTAATGTACCTCCAATGAGATACAATTCATGGCTGTTAACTCCTGACACTGCAGTTCCTAATGAATATATTAAATAAATAATGTATAGAATAAGTTTTAACTCTTGTCTAAATATGTAGATTTGATTATTAACCTTTTACACTTCCATATTTCATTCGTGAATTACTGTCACCGGAAAGATCAATAAATGGTGGCCTAGCCTTAAAAAATGGTGACGTGAGATCCAAGTAAAAAACTTCATCTGATAAATTATAACCTCTTATTGGAAACTTTTTTTTTATTGAATTATCATCTGAAATTCTACGAGAGCCACCCATAAAATAAATTCTATCTTTAACTATAACGGATACATGACCACCTCTACCTTCTGGATCAAAACTATTTATCCCAAAGATCATACATATAAAAATAAATATGAATAAAATAGACTCAGTTAAGGATTTCATTCTTATATTTAAAGATTAAATTCTAAAGGGAATGCATCGGTAGGTTTTATAAGAAAGCAATATTAGAATTATCGTGCTCTTCAAATTACTGTGATCAGCAAATTTCATGTATCACATCGGGAATCAGGAATCTAGAAAAAATATCAATATGTGATTGGCTAAAACATCAATCAAATAATTTTTAACCAATCATATTGTTACGGATGGAAATGCGCAGAGCATGATCGACAGATGATCGTACCACGAAAATTACTTTGCATGCATGCATTTGCCCGAAAATTGACAGGGCGTAATCGCCAAACAAGAATTGCGATATGAAAAAAAATCGATGATAGAAAACGGTGGGAAAAACAAACAAACAAAAAAAAAGTTAAAAAAATAAACGAGAAATTATATCGATATTAGTAATGTGAATGGAACCAAAAATGGATAAATGGGGTAGGAAGATAAGAAACTTACCCGATAATAACTTCAAACAACCAAAAGAGGGCAAATAATAGAGGGAAAATGATGGAAAAAATAGTAAGAGAACCTAAAAACAGACACATTAGTTAGCAATAGAGAACATGCATAAAAGCAACAACCCAAAAATGTAAATAAAATTTATCCTTCGCATCCACAATTACAAATTATAGTTATCAAGTAGTAGTCATCAGTTGTTGAGTTGTATAGTCGTAGTAGTTAGTTGAAGCGCTTGTTAAATTAAAACTCTAAGAGAAAAAAAAAGAAGAGATAAATATATCCTCGCCAAATCGTAACCCTCTAGTAGAGCCGCATCCCAATTTTGCTGCTGACAATGTACTGGCAATTGTTCCAGATTCCTGATTTCCGGTCATGAAATTTGCTGATCACAGTAATTTGAAAAACAAGATCGGAACGGAATTTCTATTATCAAATTAGTTAATTATTGCTCAAAATATAGGTAATATTGTATAGTAAATAACCTTTTGTCAACAGTTTTCAATGAAACTTCTTTTTTTGTAAACATAATGTACATGCATCTGTTCTGTGTCACGTACGAATGTATATCACGTACATCATGTACAGATGTTTGTACAATGTGTTATACAAATATATAATTTTTACAAGTTATTGGAATTAAAATAACTATCATTGAGCAGATCTCTTGCATTATTAACCAAATGATTTAGAATAGATGTCACCCATACTGCAAGAAATCCTATTGAGTTGTCAAATTATTTAGTTAATATGTAATAATATATTTTAATAAAGTACTGTATATTAATAAAATTGATTTTTTTTGCTTATATAAGCACTGACGAGTTTGCAAACTTGCATGATTGAATAGCATGTTATATTGCATAATGGGTGGTATGTAGAGATGGGCCACGCGCGGGATGCGCGGTTTTTTTTTGGATCCCGCGCGGGATTTTTAATATGAGATTATTTGGCCTGCATTAGCATATCATCTGGCCTGCATTAGCATATCATCTGGCCTGCATTAAATATCATCCGGCCTGCATTAACATTGATGGGCCAATTTTTAAGACTGGGGTAAAATCGCCACCCAAAAAAGTTTCGAACGTCACGTAACAAATATATCGAGCACTAAAAAATCATGTAGCTTAACAAAAAAATACAAACAAAAAAAATTTAAACGATAAGTAATAAATTAATCATTTTATTTATTCCGAATAACTCAATAAACGTATTATTTAGTATCGCAAGGTTTAAATCGGTGAAAAATGATTTTTTACATGAATTTTTAGTCTCGATAAATTTGTCACGTGAGATCCGAAACTTTTTTGATTGGCTGTTTTACCCCGGTCTGCATTTCAACGTAGAACTAATTTTATTTTTTTATCATTCTATATATATATGCGTTTACTTGATTAAATTTTTTTTTGCCGTTGGTAGTTCTTACTTACTATTCCTTGTTATAATAAATATAAACATTATTAAGTCATTCTTTAAACAACATTATTATAACATGAGTGTTAATAAACCGATTTGGCATCATTTTGAAATGCTAAATATATTTAAAATATATTATTTTAACAAGAAATTATATTTCTACTGATTATCTTTATATATTTTGAGATCCGAAAACGTGATCGATATCACGTGTCGTAAATCCCGAATGTCAGAAATGTCAGATATGTCAGATATATTTGATATATCTGATATATCTGATATATCGCCTATATCACATAAGTGTGATATATGTGATATATATGATAAATTTGATATGTTCGATATACTAGAAAAGTCCATAATGTAAATAGACAAGTAAGTTATTATAAATAAAGGACAATTTGTCCAGGCAAAAGAGGAGTGATTCAAATTGCGAAACATAAACTACCCACCTGACCCATAATTAAAGTGAAAGTGTTGTTGCCTAAAAAAACCAGTTACTATTGTAAATTCCAGTACTAACACTACCCTCCTAAGAACAACCAAACCTGCAATTGAGCACTTGTCATAGTCATGTGCATGGCTAACCATAACAAAAGAGAAGAGTTCCAACTCCAATTCGATGTAGTGAAATTCTGATTAAGACAATATAGAAGATAAGAATTAGTAAAAAAGTAGGTTAAAAGAAAGACTCAAGAGAAGAGACTAGTACTTACCTACAGATGATAATCTACTCATCAAATCTAACATGCCTGTTTTGACTTAACTGCTATAGGTAATGTGAGAATTGAAATAGTTTAGTGACAGAATCACTGATTTCTGAGATGACAATTTGGTGATGATTGTAAGATATGAAATCAAAAGAACTCCCAAAATAGAGAAACATGAAAAAAATAATATATTAGATTTAAAAATAAATAAATAAATAAATAAAAATTAGTAATTAGAAATGTGAATAATAGAAGCAAGAAAGTTTTAAAATACTTACCTAAGAAGACAAAAGAATGTATAATGTTTACCCACAAATGACATTTAAATGGTCTTGAAGACAATTTAAAGCCTAAATATCAAAGATACAACTGTCACAAGTAGTGATGTAAAATTTCTAATTTTTTCACATTTCATGCACATGATACGAATGCTGTGCATAATGCATATTATATATATAAAAATATACAGAAATACATATAGGAATTTTTTAGAATCTTTTATAAGTTTTTAGAAGTTTTTGAAATCTATTAAAAATTTCAGCTCATATTATAGTAGCTTCTTAGCATTAAAATACATATAAAAATTATATAAATTTGTATATATTGTTTATATATTATGTTAAAATTTTAAAACTATATTTGAAATTAAAATATAATTATATAACTATTTTTGTATAGCTTGAATAGAAAGAGTATATAATATATGTATTATTAATTATTAGGAAAAAAAGGTTTGTAAATAAATAAAGTTTTATTTATATATATTAAATATATATAATTGTAAATATAGAACTTCATACCAATTATATATATAGCAATAGTGATAATAATAATATTAATATATTAATAAATCTGTACATAGTAATTAGATAATCTATTAGCATTATATGTATTGTTTTATTTGCATTATAAGTATATATAACAATCATGCACATAATTCTATAATTTTATATACATAAAAATATGCATGTTATATGCATTGCCCATTACTAGTCACAAGTCTTATGAATCTCCCAATCAACTAGACAAAGCAATTGATGAGATATATAATGCTTTTATTATGAAGTAAGAGGCCACATTATTAGTAAATACCTATATATAACTTTCTTGCAAGAAATATGTACTGGTTTTTTTGTCACACTTATTGAAAAACATGATGATGAAATTCAAGAATTCATCAACAAAGTCTTTGAAGATTATTACTTAATAATAAACAAATTTTCCAAGTCCTTGAATTTATACTAGAAGTATTAAAAGATATTCTTAATTATATTAAGGAGAAAGAAGAACCAATTTCTTACAATTGTATCTTAGAAATATTATGTTATAAAGACTCAAGAAGATTTTGTAGTTCTATCAATAGAGAAAAAAGCATCTATCTTTTTTTGACTCCTGTAGTTCCTATACTGAAAGACTCTTCAAGATTTCAACTATCATCATCTATCAAACTCGACACCTATTATAACACCTACTATAATGCCTACTATAACATCTATTATAACACCTACTATGACCTTGACAAATTTACAGTAGAACCTTTTGGTAGTGTTGCTTTTGTTTCTGAAGAAGAAAAGGCTGACATAGTTCATCTTCTTTAATAACTAGTTGCTGAATATGAAGTTCTTACATAAAGATGAGCCTAGATAAAATTATTCAAGAATTTTCATAGAAAAATAACTTATCTGAAGTTGAAACTTATTGTTAAATGGAATTGAAATTAAAAAAGATAGCTATTGAGCATTTGATGACAATAATAATAACAATAACAATAATAATAACAAAAAGACAATCATTTCTAATAAAAAAAGTTGAAGTCTTAAGTTGTTGAATTTTGAAAAACTCAAAGATGATTGTGATGATTGGAATAGAAGAGTAAAAAACTTTAAATTGTTAGTAAAAAAAACAGAGAAATCAGAAAAGCTTAATGAAACTTATCCAAAAATATGTGCCTAATAGCAAAATGATACAAAAAGAAAACTTATCATAAAGGTGTTGAAATTGACACCTGAAGAAGTAATTTTTATATTGAAAAATAGATCTAAAATGAAAGAACAAATAATGCTATTAGGAGTAAAACAAGAAACTGTGAACAAAGAAATAACTTAGTACTTATTTATGCTATAATTAGTCTTAAAGGTATTTGATTCTAAAGAAAGTTGCTTCTACTTTACAATTATAAAAAAGTATAAGTTTATGTATAGTAAATATAAGCTAAATAAAGAAAAAATATAAGGTCCAAAACATAACTAATATTATATGCTATAAATTCTAAATATCAGAAATGTTAAATATGTCAAATATATTTAATATATCTGATATATCTAATAATTACCTATATCATATAAGTGTGATATATGCAATATATATAATAAAGTATATATGTTTGATATACTAAACAAGTCTATAATATAAATAAACAAGACAGTTTATTATAAATAAAGAGTAATTTGCCTAAGCAAAAAAGAAGCAATTCCAATTGCAAAACATAAACTACCTACCCGACCTATAATTAAAGTAAAGGTGTTGTTGCTTAAAAAAACTAGTTATTATCATAAAGTTTAGTACTAATACTATCTCTTTAAGAACAACCAAACCTATAATTGAGCACTTATTATAGTTATATGCATTGCTAATAATAATAAAAAAGAAGAATTTCAACCCTGATTTGATGTAATAAAATTCTGGTTAAGACAATAAAGAAAATAAGAATTAGTAAAAGAGTAGATTGAAGAAAAGACTCAAGAGAATAGACTAGTACTTACCAAATTTAACAGGCCTGTTTCAACTTAACCACTATAGGTAATGTGTAAGTTGAAATAGTTTAGTGCAGACATACTAATTTCTGAGATAATAATATAAACATTGATCTAGTCTGTGAAGTTTATATAGAAACTACTGTAGTTCAATAATACTAGCTAAGTTTTTTATAATACTAGTACTATATATAATATGTGAAATTTACATAAAATCTATATTACTATAACTTACATGAAATTACATATATTGTAAATTTGTAAAATATAATTTTCAAACCTAAGCATATCATTTGTTTAATATCATTTATAATTCTAGTTGAACTTGCAGATCATTTAATTATATTTAAAGTTGGTTTGTTTTAAATCTGATCAAATGATTTGCAAATTTGACCAGAATTATTGCCACCAATATGTAGAAAAAAAGTAAAAAAAATAGAAAAATTAATGTTTAAACTAACCTTGAAATACTAATTAAAAATGATGAAAGTTCAACTTTATATATATAAAGTAGATGTTTTATTGTCTGAAGCATAGCAAAGAACTTACATTTTAGAAACTTTGTCTATTTGTCTACTCTCATAACTATATAATATCACATGATATATACTAGATATCTGAGCTAAATTTTGTCTATTTGTTCATCAATATAATTATATCTTATAATATAATATATACTAGATGTCTGAGTTGAATTTTGTCTGTTTGTCTGTTGTTCATATAACTAATTATAAAAATAATTAAAAATTTTTTTAATTTGTTTTGGATTTATAATAGTGCCTGTTTTTCTAGTATATATAAATATGAAATCTAATAAATAAAGATTGAAATTGTGCAGCCTGTGCAGTAGATTCAAAAAATTCTAAATTTTTTTATCTCTATTTAAGTCTGACCTAGTACCAATTAATCTAAATACATATTATTTTATAGCATATTAAATAAAACTATAATAATTATTTTTTTATTTTTTAAGTCTAAATAAATAATAATTTATCAGAAAAATATTAATAAAAATTTTTTAAATCTCTAATTTGTAATATTAAATTGCATAAATAAAGTTCTAAATAGCAATAATTTTAAAATTATAGTTATCAAGAATTTTATCAATATTTTTAATTTTATTTTGTAAATTTAAAAATATACTAATAGTAAAACTATTTTATTCAATAAACATTTAAATTTATGTATAGTCTGCAAATGTTCTTTATTATGATCTTAAACATATTGCTATTCTTACTGTTTTATTAACTAATCTGTTTTATTTTTTTTTTTTATTTTTTTTTTTTTAGAGTTAAGGTGAGATCATGCCTCAAGTCTGTTTATTCGAATATATTGTTACAGTTTGTACAACTTTTTATATTATAAATTATCTATTACTATATGTTTAATTAAGAAATGAGACTCAGACTAATTTATCTGTGACCTAAACCTACCAGAGCTAATCTTGTATCCCACTTACACATAACCTAGATTTTTGTTTCACATCCATCTATATTAGATAATCTGCATATTCCCCCCATATCTCACAACCTATTTAAATAACTTCCAAATTGGTCTACTAGGTCATTTGCTCTTTATGAGCTACCATCTTTGGTCTGCCAGAACAATGCCTAACAGTTCGTATCTTAAGCCAGAGTCCTGCTGCTATTGCTAACTTTCCAATTCAGATACTAGTAGCATATATCTCAAGCCAGGTCCCTGCTGCTACTACTGGTTTGCATACTTCTGGCCTTAATGTTATTTTTAATAAGTTGTATAACTAACCTGCCCCTTTAGTACTCCCTTTTATGGTAATAGTCCAAAGCTGTTTTGCGAGTTACCTCTTCCAGCTGTCACCATCATAATATTGCTATTACTTTCAATTTGAGGTATCTCAATCTTGATTGGTGTAGCATTCATATTGGTACATTCATTCTTATATCATTATAGACTTTCATATAGGTGTGACCAGAGCTCCAGCTTAGTACCTTTAGATATACAGAACAGGTTACTTCCTTTATACATTTTACTATCTTCAATATTAAGATGTTTTACAGTGCCAGAGGTGCTTTCAATCTTAATAAGACTAATCCTTTTTCACAGCCTATTCTCATATTCACTGCTTCTCTTACCATTCCAGTCATAGTTACTTCCAGACTACTCACCCAATCAAATTCTTTTCCTTGGGTTCCAATTAGGACTTATTTGCACAATCTGTTAATTATCCTTCCAAGCAAGTACTCTACAAGTTGGGTGTGAAGATGTTGGTACTGCCTAATTAGGAGGTATAGGGATGTTGGTGCTGCCCTAGCCTAAAGGACTTACATGTGCAATCTTTCTATAACTGTAACCTTCTGTAACAGCTGCTTGTTACACATAGTGCCTATGCTTCATAATTGGGTCTCCTTTCAGGAATTCCTATTTTAGTCATGTACTGCACTTGGACTTAAGCACAGGGCTTTGCATTCAATTACTGGCTCCTTATTGGGTTACAGAGACTAAAATCTTTTTAGTTTTTACCTCCAGCCAGACTTGAACTATTGACCTTGACTGTGAGGGCACAAAAGCTTAACTGCTAAGCTATGGGACCCATATCCACTAATCTGTTTTATTTCTTAGTAATCATATCTTATAAATACTAAATATTTGCTTTCTTAGAACACTTGAAATTGGTACTAGTAAAAAGCTTTGCAAGATTTAGAAAACT